AATTACGACACTGCTCGTTTTCAGTTTCAAGCGATCTTCCAAACCTGATCAATCTTGCATTCGCGTCGTGCGCTGTCATTTGAATCTTGTCCAGTGTCCTATTATAAGCATTGACCTGCAGGAGTCTCACTCCTTTAATCTCTTAATTATCGGTTTGGAAGAGAAGAGGAGTCCCTGCAAATCATCTTTTTGTTTGACAGATGCGTTATGGCGATGGCCAAAGCAACATCTCTGCGAACCGCGCCTTGCGATTCCTTTCATTTAAGCTGAACGCGAATGCGGCCATATTGATAAGCTAAGACGAATTTGGAAGTATCCGAAGTCAGATGTCTACTAAATCTAATTGTAATTTCTGAAAGTTTGTGTAACTCCTTGAAAACTTGGACCGCGGTTTGAGATCAGAACCACGAACGGTGTGTTAAGATTATTTTCAATTATTATTATTATTTTCCGGTTAATCCCCAAATGCTAACTGTGCTTCAAGTTCAAGAATGGGGACACCGGTGAAAAGGAATAGAAGGTCGAAAAAGAATCAAGATCTTTGTATCAAAATATGTTTTACTCGCGCCATATGGCTTGTGCCATAGCAAAGATATACAATTAACATATTGAAGGTACCTAGTACTTTTGTGTTGATAAGGACAAGATTATATTATTTTCACTTCTGCTTCTGACAGCAGAACGAAGATAGATAAAAAAAATTACTTCACAATAAAGTGTTTTCCTCAGCTGTAACATCATTTGCGTTCAAGTTTTCATCTTGTTTGTGATTTTTGTCGTTCGAATCCTGAGACAAATCTTCTATCATGGGTTGGTCGTGTGTCTCAGGTAATGTCAGACAGATCACAGCGGCAGCGAGGGCAAGGCCAGCCATAATTCCAAATGGCAGAAAACGGTGAATTTCCAGCTGAAAGAAGGAGAAGTCAGTGAGGTTTGAAATAACACCAGAAATGGTGTATATGCTTTATTATGGAACTATTAGACTTCGCTTGACTCCGATTAATAAACAATTTTTTGCGTTTATTTAGTTTGTTTGTTTGAACTTGGATGGCAAAAACCCGATCAAAATTGTTGTAGTTCTTGTTTAAGAACAGGAAGCGTAGATTGTAAGACACACACGTTTTATTCCGAAGCAAGAAGAACTCTCGTATAAATCACATCACATGTGAATAATGATCAAAGCCTATATTTCATATGCGGTGGCCTAGGTACTAATCTGATTACCGCTGATCGGAAATCACACCAAATGGCTTTGAACAACAGTACCAACAAATTTCCTAGAGGGGGTTTAACCATGTATTCAGTGAAGCGGGCTCGGGATGTGCTGGCAGTATTTATCGTCACATTTGCGTCACGCTGGATGGAAAAAGGGCTATCAGATATGTTTGACACGAGCCAATAAAAAAATGATTGAATTACCCACCAGAAGAGGGGCATAAGCCGAAGCAAAACCACTCACTCGAGCCCAGGATGTTGACGTACCCATGGCAACGTTCCTGTGTTACGAAGAAAAGAAGCGCAACATAAATTCAAAACTAAAACAACAACAATAACCACAGCAACTAACCGCTTTAGAATGGTCCTTTCTAATGACAGCTAACGAATAATGCGAAATGTAATAAAAATTAGCTACCTCAGCGCTGTTGGAAATAGCTCCGCAGCATAAATATACACCAAGGTAAATGCCACGCCACTGGACAACTTTGCAACGACCATGGACATGAAAATTTTACCAGCCAAAAAACCTGAAACGATACAACAAACCATTAAGGAGGGCCTCAATGGGATGATGGCTTTT